AATTTTCAAATGCAATTGTTAATGAACTAACAAGAGGTATGAAGGACTTCATATTCAACGAGGACTATATCAAATTATCAATTCAAGTATTACACAATAATATGTATGTAGGAAGTATTTAAAAAATCAATAAATTATATCAACATTTCGAATTGGCGTATACTAAAATATAATTTAAACTAAATAATTTAAAAATGATAAAAATAAAAAATAAAATGGGTAATTTATTATAGTAGTATATTATACCTTAGTAAATGTGAATTTTACAAAGGTTACCATGAATACGGAGCCAGCTAAGTTCTTAAGTAAATATTGTGGTAGTTGCTACATTATATGAATATAATTTTCTTCGTCTTTGGTAAATAATATTACATCTTATATATAGTTCCATTGTATTTACAATTTACAAAATCTTATTATATATTCATACAATTCACAAGAGATTAATTATAAACCTCAGGTCAAGTACTTTATAATTTTACCATTTTATCGCCATTTCGTTGTAATGTGAGTGTAAAAGACATGAGTGGTATTATGTAGGTATATAATTAGTAAGGCCAATAATTTTCCATTGTAGAATACAATATACCTGAAATAATGTTATGTTATTTTTTTCTTAACGTTATGAACTTTTTGGGTACTTACTTCTCATCTTAATGTAATTAAAATTCATCCCTCAAAATAAAAATAAAAGGTATATGGTTGACGAGTTTTTCTTTACATAGATCAATTATGTAATATTATTGTTAAAATCAAATTTATGTTTGACCTAAATTCTAAAATCATCTTTTTTCTTATTTTAAGTATAGAAACTATTGTAAAATAAACAATATTTGGAAATATACCTTAGTTTAACGTTTCAACTAGACTGTTACGAATTCCAACAGCCAACATGATTTAATAATATTTTGCTTAAATTAAATTGGACTAAATGATAATAAATGTCCTAAAGTGACTGAAAAAAGATTTTAATGAAATAATTTATTAGACAAAACATATTTCTATTTTTTCTTACAAATATCTTATTTTAATTTAAAACCCAATGTCATAGTGGTACGAGTGTAATTGTATAAATGAAATAACTAGTCTACATTTAAACGATGTACCCATTATGGCTATGAAAATAAAATATTAAAATGTTAGTTAAATTTATTCGCTTTATTTAAAATATATTAAAAATATGTTGACAGCGATTTTTATTTATGCATATTTGAAGTGAAATTATATTTAAATAAATACTAATGATTTTTAGTTATTTTTCAAATTTTTTTTTCACTTTAAAATTTAAAATTAATGACACAATGAATTTTATGGTACGTTCGATACATTAGTATTCCTTGTTATTTTCAAGATTAGATAAATTTTTGATTATTTTTGTAAAAATATCTTATAAAATTATGTTTAAATGGAACACATATATTTCAATTACCCACTCAATGACAAGATTCAATCAGCATTGTGCACTGTGCAGACAACAGTTTAGATTAGATTAGCAGAGCTCCTCAGTGTTTATAAATTAAATTACCAAGGATCAGCCTATTTTCATCAATCAATTTATTATATTGCTTAAGTGGTTTAAACTCTCAATAGAAAGAATATAATGTAATATTTAATAATTTTATATTAGTTTTTAGTGAAATTATTGATAACAATAAAATCAAAACATTCCCCTCTCCTCCAATGACAACTTCGACACAAAAAAATCATTTTAATTTTAAGCCTAGTACGATCCCAACGACGTCTTCTGAGACGTTCTGAGATACTATAGCACAAAAATATTACAATCAAATCCGTTGTAAATATTTATACACCCTTGTCAGTGTGATATCATATAAACAAGCTAAAGTATTAACTTATAATTTGATAATAACAGTGCATGAGATATAAACACAAATTCAACGAATAATTAAAGGCCAATGTAAATATAATATCAGGTTGTTATTTGTTTTTATGTTTTTACATGAAAATGTTATACACAGGACTTAGAAAGAAAATCATAAAAGTAATCATTAAATTATTATGCATTCATAACTATTTTATTTTAAGATTTTTTTACTGATGTATATGTGAAAATGCGTGTATTCCATATTTATATTATTTATAATAATAATATAATGTATAATCAATAGCAAAATTTTTTTAATAAATAAAAATAATTATTGGTTTTTCGTGAGCCAAAACTAAATTCATGTATCAGCCACTCTATAGCAATTAAAAACCTATAGAGGTTAAAAAAGAAAACTATAAACACCCTTTCCCCCTACTGAACTATGATAATCTAAATTAATACATAAACTAATATTTTATACATCATTTTTATAACACATTATAATTTTATAATATTGCAAGTTAAAAATAACATAAAATTGCTCTTATATATTATTATTACACACTAATGTACCTATATTGCCTATATTATACACCGTTAAACACCTAATCAATAGCTTCTAATTATTTTAGTGACCAATCAGTATGAGCTATATTACTATATAATATTCGGTTGGAAATTTATTTTGTGTCAATCACAGAACAAGAAACTATTTAAAAAAAATGATAGAATATTTAAGATTATAATAAAAAAATAATTAATTTTATTAATTAAAAAAATGACAACAGAAAATATAATATAATGCCATTTCAATGAAATAAAATTTTTTAGGTATAGGTGGTATTAATAATTTGAAACAATTAGATTTCTAGAAGAAAAATAATTTATTTGAATATATTTTTTTATTTACTTATTTGCTAAGTTCTTGAAAATATCAGCTATTGGGTGATATTGATAATATTGAAATTATAAATAAATAGAACAGAATTATAACGTTGAACTCAGTGGCAGTTTATCCAAAGATAGGCCTGTGTACAAACCTTAAAAAAAGGCCCACCTTCATTTTTTTAATTATTAATAATATAGATATAGATATATAAATTCAAATTTAAAGTAAACATTTTTATTCTAAAATTCTTATGCAAATCTATAAGGTATTTTCCATTTTTATTAAAATTTCAATTACATAAAAAATAAGATGAAATTACTTCATACAAATAAAATAACATATCATATATATTATTAATTATTAGAATATAATACCTTATAATAATATAAAAATTCAATGGAAATTTCGTTTGCGTGGCTTTTTTTTCTGAAAAATTATTAATTATTTCTTTTAAATTTAACTAACGAGCTCGATTGTTTTTAATAGATAGAACTCCAAGTCCCCTTAATCTTTCTTCACACATTGTGTTCCATAAATTTGATCAGTTTTAATTTTTAAAATTATCGTTCCGCTGTAGCAACTGTTACAGGATGTGTCAAAATAACATGCACGCTGTATATATTTCAGAAAATGTGTTGCTAATGTGGGTTCGGTTCTCTATAACAAGTAATTCGGTAAATGCTTTTACCAATGTTCGTTTTGTAATTTTTTTCTTTAAAACAAGATATAATCGATAAAATTTGACCTGCAAGAGCATTAGAAAAATCAGAGTCATATTATTCTACCAATTAATCAGCGGAGTTATAAATGTGTTCATCTGTTAAATTAATCAACGAATTCGATTGAATAATTTCAAATATTTTGAATACGTTATTTAAGCTGATAAAACGTTCTTTTAGTTGCATTATTGCATTATCCAATATTAAATAAAATATAATTATTTTAAAATGTTCTTCTGCTGAAGTAAAGCAATAATCTTGGAGGATTATGTCATCATTTTTTTTTTTTTTTTACTCTTGGGCTTCTTTTTTCTTGGAATTTTTGTGATATACACCATTTTTTTGACATTTTTACTGTAATTTCGAAAAAGTCACTGTATTGTAACCTGTATTCTTGAAGGTTTATCAATGCAAAATTAAGCCAGGAAACTGCTGTGTTCAGTTCTTGTTTAGGAGACTGAAGAACTTTTGATACAACATTTACAGTTTCCAGAATATTGCCATGAAAATTACAGTGAATATAAAAAATATATAAATAACGTTTAGTCGCCATTACGAAAGTACAGTATATCACATAAATACAATATTTATATTTTATATCAATAATGATATTATGCTGATATCAGATTAAGAAAATGAGAACCATTTGAAATTGAAAATTATTTTTTTATTTTTTTATAAATAACTGTATTTATTTAATTTTTTTTTTTTTTTTTGTAGAACCATGAGCAATATACTCTCCCCTCTCAAGCCGAGGGCCTTTGGCATTTGCACACATCGCACACATGTATGACACGCCACTGGTTGAACTAATGATCGTATAACGATTACTTAATTAGTAGGTTATAGAGATGTCAGTTTTAAATGATATTGCATAAAAATAACAACTGAGATAGAAGATACCGGTAAACATTGAATTATTTACACTAAAATACAAAATAAAATGTTTGTACTTAAGTCTTAATACTTGTTTATGCTAGTTAATTTATATTTTACAGACTATCATTATCTGGCGATGTCAAACTATTTTGCATAATACTGCCACCCGGTCCGAACACAATGACAAATCTATGAGATTAGGTTAAGTTAGTTTATTGGGATTGGGTGGCAGTATTGTGCAAAACAATTCTCATCCGTTCCTAGTTTTTAAAAGAAAAAATAAAGTTTGTGATTGTTATGGGTATTGATTTAAAATTTATGTCAGACTTCAAATTATAAACTCGTGTTTTATTTATTAGGTGCGGCAGGTTGTAGGTGATTAAATATTTGTGGGAAAAGTTTTTCAAGATTAAAACTGTTATGCACTAATATCGCAAAAAATTAAATATTAGTATAATAATAATGCATATTAAATTATTTTATTTACTAATTTTAAAGAACACAAATTAGAGTTCATCAATGACAATGCACATATCTTTGAATTAAACATGAAATAATAATTTCCATAGTACAATTAAGCTTCAACACGCAAATGTATTTAGATACGCATTATGCAAATGTAATTTTAAATTGAATAATATTTTTGAGTTTGGTAATATTTTCAAAGTTTTAAATACGACTATATTCAGTTAAAAACAGTTACTTCTTCTATTTTGTTTTCATTTGGTGTTTTTGTGTCACTTATGATAATATTTTTACTCCGATAAATCACACTAAAATAAGCTAATAATAAAGTGTCAGCAAGCATAAGACCGGAATAAAGTAGAAATTCGCGTGCCTAAATCAAAAACAAAATCAATTTAAAATAAATTTCAGGATTAAAATAAAATAATTTATAGATACTTGATTTTTAATAGACATCGTTGAAATTATAATGACCAGCAAATTCCCAAATGCCATAGTCGATAAACTAACAGCAGCTACGAATGACTTCATGTTTATTGGCGCCTTAATTAAAAAAAAAATATATTTTTAAGTCATAGCAATATCATAAATCAATTATAATTTTATAAACTATTTATGAATTTTTTAATTTTATAAATGTTAATATTTAAACTCAATTATTTAATATTTATCATAACATCCGAGCTTATGATGTAATAAAAACATTTTATACATTTTTATTTTAAACAAATTAAAAAAGGGAATAAGTTTAGTAATTAAGTCTTTTAGAAATATATTCTTATATAAAATATTATTTAAATAGAATAATCATACTAATTTTAATGTATTCATAATAAAATTATGTTTATTTGAATAATAATAAAAAAAAAAAAAAATGTTATAAACCTATAACATAATAAAAACATAGGTACCTCAGTAAATGCAAACTTTATTACGGTGACTATGAATATTATATCAGCTAAACTCATAAACAAATATTGTGGAAGCTGCCACATTATGTGAATATAGTTTCCTTCGTCTTTGATAAATAATCGTACATCCTGTATACATTTATTCCTTATTAGTTACCTAATACTTACAAAAATTAATAACAATTATTCAAAGATCAATCACTCTATATATTACCATTTGATCACCATTCCGTTGTAATGTCAGTGTATAAAACGTGGCTGGTATTATTTCCATAGTTGGCGTGGGTAACATTTTCCCATTATAGAAAATATTATATCTATTTTATATTTCATTATATGTACAAGTACTAAGATTAATTTACTTGTAAATAATTATCATTGTAATGATATAAAAGTATTGGATACTCACTTTCCTACCATAATGGTATTAAAATTTCTCCCTTTAAACAAAGAAAGAGAGTATGATTTTAAAGAGTTGTGATCAGTTTTGGTTAATGTAATATTATTATCGTCAAAATCAAAAGTATAATCGGATACAATCCTGAAAAAATGTGATTTCTTTATTTTTAAATACAAAATTATTATATAACACATAACATTACAGACAATATTTAGATACTAACCTAAAATTAGGGTATCCAAACTTTTCTTTGACTAAACTGTCATAAACTCCGACTCGATTTAATGCGATTTTGTTCGGATTCAATCGGGCCAAGTGATAAGATACCACCTAAAAGTATGTTTTTAAAAACTTTTAAATTTAAATTCCAAAAGTATATAATTAAATAAATAGATATAAAAATAAAAGTTTCATAATATTACAATAGGTACTCGTTTATTTAACTTTTGAAGAGTATTTATCGATTGGACATTAAATTTTTCAAAGTTCGACAAGTAACAACTTATCTTTAAGAGATATAGCGTAATATTATATACAGTAAATAATATTATACATTTTATATAATCGAAATATTTACTTTTCCTTTAATTATTGTCACTGTGGTATTGAACTCGTAGTTTTTCGGCACAAAATTGCAATTTGATGCAAAACTTAATGTGATATCTACAATTTCTTTTGCAGTGACGTTCTGAGACACGATTGTGTGGTTGACATTGATCATTTCGAGTGGGCCGATGTAATCTTTGATGTGTAATGACTTTGATTGTAAGAACACGTCGCAATCAAATCCATTGTAAATGTTTATGTGCCCTTGTCTGGATGATATTTCAGTGGTATTTCCCTTAAAAAAAAAAAAAACCAATCAAAAGTGAGTAAAAAATAAAACTTAGACCTCCGAGTTAAGGCCTTACAATGATTTTAAATTGTAGTAGAGCAGCGATTACAAATCCTATGACCGCTAGAACACCGCAAAAAGAGAGCCGTTGTAACGGTTTTCGGATGCCTATTGCTGCTAACATCGGATAAAAAGCGACATCTAAAAGGAGTAGCACTATTATTGAAAACAACGGTCCTAGTGTCTGGATTTGATCAGGTTTAATAGTCCAATCTAAGAAGTCCACATGACCGTTCATCAGCGTGGCTTGCAACGTCCACCTTGAACTCTATGTCAAAATAGACAAAGCATTACATTAATCCATGTTAACATACCTTACATCATTACACGGGAGAACATTCCATTGATTTTATTTTATTTCTTGTTGGTGAGAGGGTATGGGGTTAGCTTTGTCCAAAGTAAAGTGGCATATAGGTCCATAGATCGATTACTTTAATATGTCCTATTCGTATAAAATTCGATTTGAGGGGGGAGGGGTATTACATTTTTGAATAGCTCGACATCCAAAAACGTCTAGAGATATTCATCTACACAATGACGTAATTTTGACTTTTTTAGAGAGGAGAGGGGTGTCCTAACTCCTAACAATACTTTTGCTCCACAAATATTATCATAGTTTTATTGCGAATACACATTTGTTTATAATATACCTTATAAGTGGTAATTTTCTTGTAAAAAATCCTAGGATTTTTTCTTAAATTTTAGATTATAATTATAACAGGAATGAAGTATATTAAGTATAAAGCAATTTGACAGAATATATTAAAACTAAAACTATTGAATTGTTTATTTAAATTTAATTATTAAATTTATTGAGTAATTTATTATATCAGTTTAATTAATTTTCTATACTCATATATATATATATATATAAATACATATGAAAAAAAGACTTAAATTCAAAAACCTCAATCTCACAATATTCAAGGTAAATGTCTTTTTTTTTACTACCAATTCGTCCAATATTTGATTACTTTCATCCAATGTTTGCGCCGATCGATTGATAAAATGGCTAATCTATTTAGCCATTTCTAAAGAAAACGATACATTATTCAATTTTCAAAGCAGTTTTAAAATATTTATACGTCAACAATATTTTGCAATATTCAATAATGAAAAGAACTAAAAAAATAATTGGTAAGGGTTTTTTACCCCCGGGACCTCCCATCATAAATTCGTTACTGTACTTATAGTTTTCATAGTAATTAATAAAATAGCTAATAGATACTGTACCGGTTGTTCAAACAGTGACCAAAATACTGGATACGCTGTAAATACGCAAAGAACGTTTAAGATAGACCTCGTGTCTGATATTTCAGATTCGGTGTATTTTCCCTTTGCGTTCTCCAACCAATGTGTTTTACTCGGAACGGTTGAAGTAATCTTTGCTCGCAGTGCGTACTTAATGTAAAAACGTGACAATAAAATAAGTATTGATACTTTCTAAATCATTTCCGGTCACTTAAAATATAACATGATAAAACGACACTTACGAAAATACAACCAAATGTCCTGGTTAATTCGTTCCGTTCCGGTTTTTTCTTTACATAGATTGTTTTTCCACTTACAAATATCGCTACAGTATAAAAAATAGTATTTAAATTAAATACGTTGAAAAATGTATCTATTTTATATGTAAATTATAATTGATTAAGAATGACTTATGATTGGGTTATGACTGTGAGCCAGGTAGGAAAGAGGTAGTAATATTAAGTAGTTAGATATTTTATATTTATTTTTGAATCGTATGGTGAAAAAATAATACTTACGTTATTGTTTTATATATATATATATAACCTTCTTGATGATACCTGATGATAAGTATTAAAAATATCAACAATATATACCTGTGCAAGAAATCATCATTACAGCTGTCACACCGAAAGTCAATGGAAAACATGTATCTTTACCAAAACAGTGTACGCTTTGTCTCAATTCGGGCATCAAAAATGTTGAGACCAATCCTCCTGCATATACTGCAATCGAGAATTTAGTAATGAAGTGTTGTAGCTGTTTTTCTTGTTGAGGCAACTGAAATTGATCGCCACCAAATGCAAAAATGCACGGTTTTATTCCACCTGTACCGACCGATATTAAAAATAGTCCGCAGAGTGCAAGGATTCTATAAATAAAATTTAGTATAAACATTTTAAGATAACGATTCGAGATCTTGTAGAGACGTATAATGTATGTTTAAGAGGATTATTTGATGTATGTACTAGTTAGTTAAGAATTTATCGTCCACTTGGGTATCAGTAAAACATTCATCATACTTAAATGTTCTTAATTTTTTAGATGTAAAATGTAATCTAATCTTAAGATCCGTAACACAGTAAATATAGAATAACTAACAATTGTATTATTACATGTAAACACACAAAAAAAAAGATTTTTCCTTGAATCATCATTTATCATATTTTGTCATATATTTAAATTAGTTTAAATACTTATATATTTTGTTGTGGAAATAGAATAATAGTATGTATGTTTTTTTGAAAAATTCATTATAGTTTTGAAAATATTCTTAAATTATGTTTGTATTATATTATGTACTTGACTGACACTTTAAAGACAATAGCATTATAGAATAAAGCATACTAATGTGATATTCTAACTAAACACAACTAAACATTTAGGAATGACTTCAGAGAAAATCCTAGAATCCGCAGTTCCCCTTCCAAGATTATATTTAAAAAAATATATGTATTACATTAGTATAGGTATGTGCCTATTATCTATACTTATAAAGTGTAAATAAACTATAGTAATATAAAATATAATATGATATGATATTACATGAATATTATAACTTAGCCCTCTCTCTCCTCGTTCAACGAAGTTCCTGAAACCGTCCCTGTCAATATTTAAACTCTGGAGTGCTATATCTCTGTATTGTATTATTTAAGCCAGCAGAATATTACTTTTATCTTCTCAGCGAAACAAAAAAAAATGTAAGGTGAGAAAAAGAAATTAATTGTTCATGATTGTTGGTATTTTAATTTAGTATTTCTATTTTTTAAATACTTAATTTGTGTTTTAAATGTGTGAAAGAGATTTTGATAAAAAAATATATATACAGTAGAACCTCGATTATCCGTATTTGCGATTAACCGTGCCCACTCTTCAGAAAATTTTTAAACATAATACTCGATATCAACAATCGTATTAATGACATTTTTGACGATAATAATATGAAGATAAGCAATATTGTACATTGATTATTATATTTATTATATTTATAATTATAATTGAATCAAAATTTTTAAAATTTCATTATTATGAAATTGTACCTATGTTTTTCTAATTATAAATTATAATTAAATAAAAAATGTTATTATTATAAAAAGTCTTGATTAACCGTGATTTTCATTTATCCGTGTGATTGTCTCCTCATCATTACCCCGGATAATCGAGGTTCAACTGTACATATATATCAATATAATATTTCATGAATAATTTTTAATTTGACAAAGATATTTAATAGTTTCATATAAATAAACTTAGATTTTATATTTTTGTAATTATAATTTATCAAATTTAGAATAGGAATTATATTTGTATAAAAAATAAGATTTAGGTTTGACTTTTAGCTAAAATTGATTTGTTCGTGTGGTTTGAATTAAATTGAATGAGTATAGGCGAATAAGCATATTTAAAAGTCTTACAGATATTTATCTGACAATTGTTTAAAGATAATTTGAAAATATGAGATGATTACTAAGTTTGTTTAAGGCTGATGTGGCAGGCCAAGTTCTTGCATGTTTACATATTTATAAGCTGTGTTAAATGTATGCACCCTCTGTTATATTTTCTGAGTACCGTCTATGCGATTTAAAATTTTAACTCAGAAGTATTTTCCATTTTTCCATAATTAGATCTCATGCTAGGCGTATTTAGGCTAAATCATCGTCAAAATAATTTTGAGATATAAAGAAATACTCATAATACAATTTGAATTTCATTATATTAAAAATTGCAGACAGATAAGTAGTTTTCTAGTAGCAGGGTGGTTGCAAATAATTACCGAATAATTTACTAGGTCAAGGCGAAGTTAAGTTTTCGTACTTAGGTATGTTTTTACTCGTGGTGGTCGATTGTCTAGACTGGAAACGTAGTCAAAGTTTAATCAAAGTTACTAAAAGAAATGTGGTGTACATTAAATAAAAAATTTTTTGAGAGACCTAATTCATACTGGGACCTATCGTACTGAGTACCAATATAATTAAATTCAACGGAAGATAGATTGCGTTTCGAAAACTAATTATATATAGGTACTATAAAATAATTGTCAATTAACTTTTGAACGTCCAGGCTGAACATATCTGCAATCGATGCACCGGTGAGTACTATACATCCCAATATGTAGACTGATGAGAAATATAAAATCGTTCTAAAAAATATAATATTTTTAAACAATCATATAAGTACGTGGTTTAAGTTGATTAAATTCGAAACCAAATGTTAATAACATACTTGAATTTTCCCCAACGAGAGTCTCCCAATATCGCACTCGGTATAGGTATGAAGTATGCTAAAAATATGAAACTGTGATATATCATTGTCGACTCGTCACCATTGAACTTCAATATTGTTGTTAGATACAAAACCAAAATGGCTGTGGATAAATTTTTATCGTATTAAAATATTAATGATAAGCAATGAATTTATAAAGTTATAACTTATAACCCATAGTTGAGCTATTGTTAGGTCACTGTATTGACTTACTTTTTAATCCAAAAAAGGTAAATCGTTCACAAAATTCATTGATTACAATTAACCATGTAGACTTGGAGTAATGCTAAAAATCAAACAACTTTTTGAAAATTTAGATTCAATATTCTAGTACATTTTTGTGAAACATAAATAAAGTTATTATTATGCAAAAAGCTTAAGTTAATTGAAATAGACCTTTATTACTTATAGTTTTGAAAACAATCTTAATCAAATTGATTTTTTTTTAATTTTTAAGAGTATTTGATAAGTAATGTGCATATTACATTCAAAAACAATTATTCGAATGTTGTTCTTTATATCAAATACTAAGACATTCATATAGTGTTGAAAAAGATAATTACGTAATTTTAGGAAATAATAGACATTATTATTTTACTATTTACTTTAAACCTAGCGGGTAATTGTAAATTTCACTGATTATACTTTTTTTTTTTTTTTAATTTAAATAACACCGGTTTTTTATTTGAAAAAATGTGTAAATTCTTATAAAATTAAAATTTGACCTGATAAATAAACATCGATTCCGAACAAATTATTTATTTGACTTATATCAGTTTTATTAACGTTTAATTTTAAATTTTATATTGAAACCTACTTTAATTATAATAGAGCATTATGATACACATTTTCCTTTTCAATTTGAAGAAAACATAAATTAAACATTATGTTCAATGTTATCAACTACTGTTTTAATTTTCTAAATGTCTGATACTTTGTTTATCATTAAGTGGATTATGATAGTAATGAATTTGTAAAATTTACATTTTATTCTGATAAAGAACATTAAGCGAAATAATACATTTTCCTGATTGAATAAATGTATATATATATGTAATTTATGTTCTTTTCAGCAAGAAGACATGTAGAAATTGACATTCTCAAACAATTATTTATCGTCGAGAACGGTTCCTCTATGATGTGGTATTACTATCACGTGAGAAAATGCAGAACTGTAGAAGAACTTATTTTCATTCGATTGTTTGCTCATTGAGCAGATTGAACAGAACAGTATACATATATATTAAATTATCTATACAAATTGTATTTGTTTGTTTTTTATAATATCGTGGAATTTATATTTATTTAATGCTAGTGATATTTACATTTTTTTTAGGTATTAACAAAATGTGTTAACTACTTGAAATCGGTGGAAATTATATAAATTCAACATAACTATATTAAAAAAATATCTGAATATATTTTAAATAATATCTAAGCTTTTTTGAAATATTTTATTATCTTATATTAAAAAAAATATATATTGGTGAAACTAAATTGAAAAATTAAACTAAATAAAGCACAATATGCAATAAATTGAACAAGTTAAAACGACAAATTCTTAGTAAATTTACTAAAAGGAATTAACTGTGTGGTTTTTTTAAAATTATGTGTAAATATTTATTAACTCACTGATTTTTTCTTTTGATCAGGTATTAAATCCATGTTATACTGAAAAAACAAACAAATACGCAAAACTACAATACTTAATGAATTAATTATACTTCTAAACTGAAAAATTTAGATTTTTGCATTCAACGTGGGCGTACAATTAACGTTCCTATAAAATCTATAGTTTTTATAATCATTTATACACTTGGACGAATTTACAGTTATGTAATATCAAGGTAGTGGAAAATTGGAGATATCATTTACAACGTCTTATTAAGTCAAAATATACATTTCACGGAGTTTTATTGAGTCGATTACATTGATCATTATACAAAAACTATAAATTTTTTTTTTATTTAAAATACTAATGGTTAGTTAATCTGGTACTTGAAATCATCTTAAATAAAAAATATTATAGAAAATTCCATGTTAAAATAATAATAATAGTTGAGTTTGAATGTTAAACGAATGAAATGTTTATAATTTATAATTTTTTTTTTTTTATAAAAGACAATTCCATATAAATAAAACAAATAAATTAAATTATTATTCATAATTTATAATGTACAACTGGCACTTGACATTCATTAGCAAATTAACCACATTTTAAAAAACGAGTATAATATTTAATTAATTTTTATTATTTACTATAATTCATAAAAATCATATTAACACTTTGATGCCCATAAGCGTGTATACAGGTCATACATTTCAATCAGTTTTATTTTTTATTTAAACACCTTATAGTTCATCGAGACTAGACGTTATATATATATAATTTAATGATTATAGTAATAATAATTATTTTTAACTTAAAATAAAATATCAAAATATTCACATTATAGAAGTACATGGCATACCACAATTATTAAATTTAAACGTAATTTACATTATTTAAATCTAATGAATACAATATGGTGTTCATCAATAACGATAAATATATCTTGACATATTTTAATATGAAAAGAATTATTATATTGTACGGTACTCGAATTTTAATATTCCTATTATTTATTTATATTAATTTTCGTACAAACCTTATGACTGCACAAAATTATTAAATTATAGTCAGAGTTTAATAATTTGTTCAAATGAGAGTTCGTAATTTGCAACCAAAATAAAGATATGTAATTTGCGCCACTGCAGGTAGCCGAAAATAGTGTTTGTAATTTGCATAAAAATAAGGGTAAGTATATAATTTGCAGCACTGTAGATAATTGAAAATAGTGTTTGTAATTTGCACTAAAATTTATATCTATTAGTTATGGATACTATTGAATATTCACATCGAATATAGTAATTTAACTCAACAGACCCGAATGACAATAATAATTTTTGGGAATTTCTTATTACCCGCCACCTTATCTGATAATCAAATCGAAGTTTGACGTCGTAATCGCGTTACATCACGTTTGTACTATTTTTTTAACTTACTAACTTTTTTATAATAATAAGACTTTATTTGTAGTACAAAAATGCATACTAAATTATATTTTTGCCTAAAATAATATAATAATTATAATATTATACTCGTATAATATTATGTTTGTCATGCATTATTATTATTATTATTATTTATAAGGTATAGATTTTAAGTCAATAGGCATTGACATAGAACAGTGTAAACACTTAACAGGCAAGTGAAATAACCACTCATTATCTATAAATAGGTATTAAATGTCTTGAGCTATATTCATATCTTAATATATTATACTTAATTATCGAAACTTGTACAATTATTCTTTCAATAGTACCAATCTTAAAATGATCGATTTTGATTTTGGTGTAAATCACATTTCCTATTTTTTACTACCTGACATGATGTAAATTACATACCTTTATTTTGGTGCAAATTACTCATGTCGTAAATATTTAGGGTCAATTTTGATGCAAATTGACTACACGTTCATAGATAAATAGGTTGTAATATTTTTATTACTTTATTGTAGGTATTTTATTTTTTTTTAAGAGTAAATTATGGTTGAATTTTGAAATTCGCGATGTTGATGACGGTAAAAACACACAACAATTATAAATATATAGGTATAATACTTCAATCTGGTTTATTTATGCAGTTCTACTTTAAAAATATTATTCTGGCATTAAAAGTCCCCTAATTACGAATAGAGTAAAATCGATATAATATTTATGCTTAGAAGTACCATACAATATCAATTGTGCTTGACTTATATTAATGTGAACTTTAATATAAATGATTTGATCAATAGATTATTATATACGAGATGAGTATTGTTGAATAAAAAAATAACGAATAAAATAATTAATTAATTAAATTTTATTATATTTCTATGCTTATAAATAGTATATTTAAACAGATACTGTAGATTATTTTAAATCATATAATGTTATATACGTCGATTTTTGTGTAATACTGTGGTTTTGCTGACTTTCATTGGAATAAATGATAATTTATTAGAATAACAAATAACTTCAAACTTCAAGTACAAATTAACGTTTAAATATTTAATTGTAAATCGTTCGTTTACTAAACTAATAATGTTTACAGATTTACAGACTACAGTCAAATATTTTTATTATTAATTCATGTAAATTTGGTTCATAATTTCATTAATCATGAACGTTCAAAAGGTTGACTCGACTTGTTAATAAACTATTTGAAATTATATTATCATGATAAGCCAATTAGCATATACTTTATCGGACTTAGACAATTTTAAATAAAGCCAATAAATTTACCTGATAGCACTTTTACATACATAATTATTATAGTTATACAGTATTATTCAAAAAACACAATTTTAGTCAATTAAAAACATAAATAATATATACATTTATTACCCTATAATTTTCGCTGAAAAGTCCTAATATGTATATTAGTAATAATATATATTAAAATTATTTGTATTAAAACAGCAAACAAATCACGTTCATAATAGTGACAATAGTGTACTTTGAGGTCATTGAGAATACGTTTTATCGATGGATATGTTCAACAATATTAAAATACAATATGTAAACTCATTATTTGGAATAAAATTTATTAAGATTGAAAATTGAGGAAAAATAGGAAATATTTTATACATAAGTATGTATAGACGGGACTAGAAGGCAGTAAATACGTTTTCATCAAAAGTTTGTACGTAGAAATAAAACTTAGCAAATTTATCATCGTAAATTGCTGAAAATTGAGATTAACGAATTTAGATCACCAAAATTATGAATAATAGACAATGATGGAACTTTATGACTAAAATTACTGTAATAATTTGAACAAATCGATATTGAAAATTGAAATGAAAGGCAAAAATAAAACGAATGCAAGGATCATTGATTATAGTTGACCGAAAATACAAAACTATTTAAAAGTAATTACTAATTTCTTCTTAAATTTCATAAATACTAACACTTAACAGCTAAGTTTTTTTTTAACCAATACAATTTCACCATTATCTGTTAATAATGAAAACTTGCACTTATTAAAAATTAAAAGGTTTTATTTTTTTAATTACAATTTTTGAGCACAGTTTTCATGAACTCATAGAAATGCAAAAATGTATAAATTATATTATATAATATGTAAAGTTTTAATAAATAAAATTATAAAGAAATTATAAAAACTGAACAATATATTTTGTTAAATTCATATAGCACTTATAAAATTATATATCAATGAGTAATGACAATAAATGTATCATGAGTCGTGACTTCCAGTATACGATAAAATATTGTATAGCTTATTTGAATACATGTATTTATTTGCATTTATAACACTTAACACAAATATATTTGATTAATAAAAAATAATTACGTAAATTGGATTTTATACAATAATTTTCAGTCAAAAAAAGAAATTGTCTTACTTTTTAGTTTTTGCCTTCGATAAGTGCTGTTGTTTCAATTGTTATTTTGGATTGTTATTTTGGCGTTTTTACTCGGGAAAGCTACACTGAAGTAACCCAATAACAATGTATTGGAAAAAACATAACACCCGAGTATAGTAAAAATTCATGTGCTTAAATCAACACAAACAATAGCGGTATAATAAATTAACTATACACTAGGGTGATACTTATTTTTTATCTTTCAAATTGTTGATGTAGTGCCCTTTTTTTCATTGTTATAAGAAAATGATTTTGGTTAACTTTGGCTATAACTAATCACCCCTTATCGTGACCCTAAGGGGTCAAAAATAGTTTACAAGAGTAGTTTTTTTTTACTTAGCTAAAGAATATGATATAGCGAAAAAATGTATAAAATTTAAATTGTAGAACGAAATTGTTTCAATAAAGAAGTATAAGTATAGTATTTATTATAATTTATAAGTTTATTATTTTAAAAGAAAAATAACGCCAGCCGCGCTTATCAAAATATTTTGGAATTTTTGTACTTCAAAAATTAGCATGTTATTAGTATGATTAGCACGATTGTCACTCAAATTTGTACGTAACTTTTTATTTGTTAAAAATAAATAAATTCTTTCGAACGATTAATTTTTTATACTTAGAAGAAAATAGTAAGACGCACTTTAATGGAAACTGATATTTGTGAAAAAAAAAACGTACATTTTTAGCGGAACTTAACCTTTGTGCTTACAATGGTATCATCGAAGAATCGAACCTAAATGTTTTACCGCGACCAGGGCTTGATTTATTTACTTATTTACTTAGATGGCCTACTCGTAGCTCTCATATTGAAAATTTTTGTGACTCACGAAATTTATCATACATTTGCAAAAAAAAATAAATATATTTTTGTATCAATAGAATATTCTGAAATGTTTGTACAACGCAGTGCCCGCACGTATTATTAACAGCATAATCGCAACAAAAATAATAATTCTAATCTAATCTGAAAACAATATACCGAGTAGATGCCATCTAACCAAAACTTTTTTTTGTTATGTTCAAATCTACAATATGTAATTTATTGTGCGGTCCGTGAGTTTATTATGTATTTCCAAAGTGGCCCACTAGATTATTTGGGTATGTCACTCCTGATTTATAAATTTGCTGTCAATAAGGTAGGGTTAATTTGGTATTACTACGATGTATTCGGAATGAGAAGGTTCTAGG